TTAGCGCACTGGGAGTCTTATTATGGGAGGAAATCTACCCGGTGAAAACCCACGTGGTCGGTCAAGTGACCTAATACGTTTTCATGATGATGATGATGACGATATCGAAGTTTTCGAAAATGTCACAGCCAAGCAGAGGCCATGGCGGCTTTCGTGCATACTGAATTGTTTTTAAAAAGCTGCGAAAACTGTTTATGTGTCCCCTTATGAGTTCTCTAATTAGACATTTGACATTTAGAAACTCTCACTCTATCAACCTTCATGACCTTTTAAAAATGAATCATATCCATGAAAATAATTTGAAAATACAGAAGTTGTAAAAACGACTAATCCGGGGCCTCAGCGACCATCGTGGGTTTTGAATCGGTCCGGTATAACCCTAATCTCTACCCAGAGTGTTCGTTCCTTTTTAATCACACACACAATAATAAATATTAGAGTGTTGCATGAGGATAGTCTTGCAGAAGTATACACTAGGTAAAATTGCTTCCTGGAATTCATTTTGATATGTATTAATTAAAGAAATATAATGATAATTCTGTTTAATTAATGGTAAAATATATCCACAGCAGAAAATGTTACTGATAAGAGTAACATAAATACTACATGTATTTGGGGAAATAAAACTATAAATTTTGATAATTTTTCACTTTCTCTAATTAGGACTGTATGGATACTTTTACATAATGATGTATATGAGTTTCTGTCAGATTTGAAAATATTAATAATATCACACCCTGTGAAGAGAGCATCCTTTCGCAACATGGTCATGTCAAACCCAAAACATCTCCTCTTCTAATTGCTAAAACTCTTGACATTAGTTTATTCAAACAGGTAAATTTAAAGTGCATATATAGATGCAAAAACATTAGTACTATTTCCTGGAGTTTTTGAAATGTTGCTGTTTTTGGCTTCAAAAGTCACTTAAAATGTGTAATGGATCATTACTCCTTGTACATGATGTATAGATATAACTGATTACTTCATACATGTGAATACTTTGAACATTTGTAATTAGAAAAATCAGGCCAGCTAACATTTAGGCAAACAAAATAACTAATGAACTGTACCATACTAGATGTCCTTAGCAACTGTGTTGCGAAGGATTGGGATAATATTATCAAACCATTAACTTAAACTTTTAGAAGATAACATTATACAGTCAAACCTGTTTACAACGATAATTGTACAGAAATGTTCAGGGATATGTACAAAAATGCAACAATGCTGGTCAATTTACTCTCAAAAACTAATTATTCAGGTGTTGTGTATTTTTTCCACCCATAAAAGTGTCCCAATAGCACATTTTTTACAAAATTGCTTTTACCACACTGCCACTTCCTTGATTGCATGCACTGTTACAAAGAAAAATGTGACAATATTTTCTATTAGTAATACAGGTCACTTAAGAGAAGCAGGTCTGACTGTGTTTATTTATAACAATCTAACAAGACAGCACTAATTATAGTAATTGACTGGGTTGCAAAACATTAATTCCAAAATCACTTGACCATGAAACAGAGGTCACATGGACCTCATGCATACTAAAATCAAAATTATTTGATTGCATTTTACTGTATGCATGGCTACCTATCTATGCATCACTTATATTTGAAATGTTTTGCAATTTGGCCAAATATTTTAATATAAAAACAAGTAAACTAGCATGTCCAATTTATGCAATTTCTTACTCTATCATCCAATCCTCCTTTGGTGGTAATAATAGTGGTCAACCTGTGGTAGGCTGATAAATTATGATATTTACACTTCATCAGAATGCTGTAGCAGGCAGCTTACACCGGAATTATACCTGGTGTCACATCCCAGAGGCTAGCACAGTAACGCAACATAACAGATCAAATAGGAAAGGAACCCTGAAACAAATAACAACTAGCATTCAGACGTTTTCTGTAAGTTGCAATTTTAGTATGCATGGGCCTAAATATAGATGCCATTTGAAAAGTTTGAGGATCAAATCCTTGCTTTTCTCATTTTCTATATAGGATTTTTTGTCGTCTCCGAAAAGTGGGTGGGGGTGCATTTTACATTTTACATGAGTAAAGTGTACTTGTGTACCCTTCCTTCATTTCCTTCACAATATCCTCAAGCAAATTCTCAGTATTGTCTGTCAAATCTTCTATGCTGCGATACTTGTATAATACTGAGGCAAACATTGCCGTTCTGGAGGTTAAAGTCTGTGTTTGTGTCCTCACTTCCGAAAACATCAAAGTCTTTGTGTCCTGACCTTGCTCACTACTACTCAGCGACCCGTAGAAGGATTCATTTATGTGTCAAGGAGTTCAGATTGAGGTTTAAAATAATCATGCTCAGTAGGTTGGAACAGATCAGGGACGTCGACAGCAGCAGAAGAAATCTTTTCCTCTGGCAAAGTATTCACCTGCTTGGCTGCATCTACAATATAATGAAGTAGTTTTATATGCATTATCCTAGCAGGCACACAACATTTATTCAACGTTGAAATTAAGTTATTATTTGGTCGTGACGTTGATAAACGTTGAATCAACGTCGATTCAACGTTATTTTTTCAACGTTGAAATGTTGTTGTAATATGACGTTCAAACTATGTTGATTTATTTGAATTTTTTTCAACCTTATTGGTATTGCTGAATCTCAACGTTGAATCAACGTTGATTCAACGACCTGTTTTCAATTGTTAATGATATCTTGTATTTCATTTTTGGTTATTTTATATAGAAACATAACGATTATCATTGTCTTAGGTAAAGAAATCGAAAGTATCGCGGGACTGTGAAAACATTATCTACTGGGGGATTTAAAATCACGTTGTTGAACTTATTGGGAAATTGAAAGAGTTATTTAAAATCTGGAGCCGTTTTCTTTTGTTATTTTGGCTTATTATGAAAATCGCCAATGTTTATTTTTCAGGGAGTTTAATTTAAATTATTACTCTTCCCTTATAATATTATATGATTTACAACTTTGTGATTTATTTCATGTCTGCCTATGTGGACTGATTATCTCCCTTGCTCTATGTGGAACATAAACCCATATCAACCTACCATGCAACTGCAGATTATTGCAATGAAGCGCTGCATTACAGTAAAAGGTAAATGAAATTGGATATCTAGATTATTCAACTCTGTGATACAGTTACGTTACTTGCATGTGTTCGATCTGTAAGAATATATAAATGTAAGATGATCACCTGATCCCCGGACTTTCAAATAATTTCCAATCTGATGCAAATTTAAAACCTGGAGGTCCCAATATTGAAAGGCCGATTCAGCCTTGCATTGCCAAAATGAATAGGCATTTAAAAGCCGTTTCATATGACACACATTTGAAGCAAAATGTTTATAATGTTACCCAGGCAAACAGAGAGTGAAACTACTTTGCACATGTGTGTATAAAATCGCTGTAATACCTGCTTTCATAAACTGAGTTACGCACCCGTTAGGAAGATAAAAGCCTGTGTGAAGTAAGTGTGTTTGTAACGGTAGACTCGGTCACTTTCTTTCTGTGTTCTTGTTTACGAAAGACTTATAGAACGGAGTTGGAGGTACCTCTATAAGGTCGTTTTATTGCGATGATATTTTTTGTATTAATATATATTTGTCTATTTATCTATTTTAAATAGTTTTTATAAGAATGAATGATGTGGAAAATATTTGACCAGTGATCATTGTAATTAATTTATATAATAATATGTTTTACAATCTTTTGCAGAAGCTTTCCAACTGCCACTTGTATGTAGGTGCTGCATTCCAAGAGTAGGTATCCCAAATCTGATGTATACCCCGGATAAACATAATGGAGATGGGCCTTAAGCTGCTGATTAGGTTGTTTAGAGAAATAAATTGTTACTCAAAAGAGTGCGCTGTTGTCCTTTTCTTTGTTTTCTACTACCAGTTGCCCGAATTTCCTCTTGCTCTGACACCAGACTAAGACGTTTTGACAGATAGATGTCCCTTACCAGACATCTGCCTGTCAAAATGTCTAAGTCTAGTGTAGGGGCCAGACGAAACTCGGGCTATGCTACCAGTTGAATGATCCGAAAGAAGGTTGAATAGTTATGTACAATTCAACGTTATATCAATGAATGAAATAGACGTTTATTCAACGTCGAGCTTCAATATTGCATTTTGGTACGTTGTTTCAACTTTCACAATCAAATATAAATTAAACGTTTAAACAACGTTGAACATCAACGTCATTTATTCAACGTGTATGTGCCTGCTGGGATGTGGCCTGTCTGTTTTTTCATGTTATGAATGCATATTTAGTGAATGTTTGGATTCAGAAATACAAAAAAACAACCCATTATTTATCTAAAATCGACGGACAAAAGGCGATTAGAATAGGTCATTTGAGACTGTGTCTCAGGTGACCTAAAAACTGTCACATTCTTGGCAAAACACGCAAAACAATATATACTGTTATACCGGATGGCTGGCTGTGTTCTGCTATAAAAACGCAAAGATCGTCCGAGTTTTCAGTGCAGCTGTTTAATGGCGATAAAACTCGACGAGCCGGAAAACGTGCCTAAGGGTCTTATATCAAATCCGGGGACCGTACCCCGATTTCCGGAAGAGGTTAATCCGCATTACACTACTTTCCAACTTCTTTGGTGTGTTTTCTACGGAGGCTGCCTTTTTGTACGATAGATCACATGCGTTTTTGGTCATGCGATTTGGGACTTGGTTTTTGACATTGGCAGATACTCTGCGTGGAGATTGGGTCAATCAGGAACCGTCGGCACTTTCCGTAAACGAGAAAAAGTACTGTTCCCGATTGGGAGATTGGTATAACCTTTATTGTGTATGACCTCATGACCCGGAGGGAAGGAATGGTCTATTAGAGTTATATCATATATACTTACATTTTTAAATGGAAGTAAAGCATTCGGGCTAGAACCAATGCACACTTGATGAAATGTAACAAAAAAAACAAAAACAATTGTCATGAACCGGTGATTTGATGCGAATGTCACGTGATAATTCTCAAGTGATTCTCAGAATCCGAAACAGCCATGATTATCAAGTTCATATATGTAGCTGTTCTCACAAGTAGTGTTGGAGGTTTTCTGTTTCAAAATGAGACTAGAACTACGTTTCGTGCCGCGGTTTATGAACATGCGGTACACTTATTTCCATCGTCTTCTTCGACGACAAGACAAACAGCCCTGGCAAACATGATGATGAACCTTGAGGAGTACAAACGCCAAGCAGACATAGCGGGAGGTCAGGTGGGTCACTTTATGTATGCATACATTTTAGTATATGCTGAGTAATAGTTCAGTGGCGGATCAAGAGGGTTTTTTGGGCTTCAGGAAACCTTACAGCCTGAGAATTTTCTTTGAAAATCATGTATTTTCACCATTTTCCTCAATTTTTGGCGCTCGACGAAAGCCAGAGGCCTTTAGCCGAACTACACATCGAAAGTAACATTTTGTGGCAACTTTTCCGGCAAGAGTATAATGTGTAGAATTGTGTGCATTTGACAAGTTATAGCAATGCGTACGACTTGGTGCACATACATTTTTGGAGAATGCATTTTTTTTTTTTTTTAGTTCAAACCCAATATAAATAATCGATAACTGCTATAGTGGCCGGGGTACACATGTCTTGTCCGCCTTTCCCGTTACAGCTCAGATCAGAGACACTTTGCGCAGCCAAGTGTGCCCGCTACATAGCGTGGGAGTAAGGGAGGTTTAATTGTGGCCAAACTAGTTACTAGCTCAAGTAAAAACTGAACACCTGCTTATAAATAATAACGCCGAGTGTTGATACAATTCAGGATCCAAGCTGAAACATTGTTGGCTTACCGATTAAAAAAAGAAAAAATGAAATCATGTAGACGTATGTACAGCATCTTGATCCAACCAATGTTAGCTCAATAATTATCTGATATAAGTACAAGTATTGCTAACTTAATTAGGATTTGAAATTATACACAGCATTAATAATACATTCAAGAATCAAAACATTGTCAGCTTAATAATTTTCTGTAATCTGTAGACTGCTTCCTGGCAACATAATCTGGAGGGCATACTTGAACATATGATCTGGTCTGGTCCGAAGCTTTGGTCTGGTCTGGTCTCAATGGACTGGTCTTATGGGTGAGAGTCCAAAATTTCATATACAACTAATCGAGTTATTACAAAATTAGGTGACTGTGACCTACTTTCCCAAAACATGTTATAGGACGATAGAAATTGACGCCTGGGATCTAAAACAGATGTCGAACTTGAATTTTAAAAGATTAGTTCACTATGATCTGCTTTCCAAAAATTGTCACAGGACGATGACAATTGATATCTAGGATCTGCAACTTTGGTTTGGTGACCCATATGCAAATAAAAAGTCTCGTATTGGTCAAAAACAGATGCCGAACTTGAATTATGTCACCATGACCTACCTAACAAAAAATGGTCACAGGACGATATAAATTGACACCTGGGTTCAAAAACTGATGCCAAACTTGAATTTTATAAAATTAGTTCACTATGATCTACTTTTCAACCGGTCTATTTCCATATTTGATTGCAAATTACTATTGAATGTCTTGGCGATAGGTTTGTCGTCAGTAAATCGCCAATCCAGCAATACGTTGTAGCTGAAGGTTATCATCATTATGTATATACGCATACAGACTGAGGACAAAGTAGAATTAGAATTAGATGATGCATGATGACGTTAAATCATTTACTTATCTGTAATGTGTTAACGACTTTAGTTCATATATTGACATGTAGTGTCAAGGCAAAAAAACGATGTGAAGAAAGAGGGTTATGATGGACAGTCATTTCGAGTTTTGAACCAGGATATAATGCACTATAGGCTTACATTCATACCATGCTACATCATACTATATACTATAGTTCTGAGAAATAATGGTCAGAGACATTTTGTAATGGCCGAGAGCCTCGTGGTTTTTGGCCTTTTGTTATTTTTGTTTCTTTTTTCAAAATATTAAGTTGGATATTAAACAACTTTTATAAGAATGCCAGACACACATTCAATATTTTTACGCACACACAACGCACATTTTTTAGTATACAAGTAAAAGGTAAGGCAGCAGAGTACAGTAGAAATGGCTTGATCCTAAAAATAAAGGGCATGTTTCGGATAAACATGGATAGCGGATTCATCGTGCACAATACACCTACATAAATATATATATAGTTATAACCAAATTTTGAATAGGTTTTTTAGAAGAACATGATTTTTTTTTCGAAAAGTGCTTTCTCCAGATTTGGGACTTGTGAAAACCATGGTTACCACATCAAAAAACGCCTACTCGGTAACAGAAATACTCACGTAATAGCATAGGTCATACCGGTGGATTTTTCACCATATTTACACATGTGCGGAATAAAAAAATAGACTACATGAAAAGCTGGCTTTTGTTGTGTAGACACAGATTTGTAAATGGTAAAAAATATAGTCTCAAACCAAATTCGATTTTTTTTTTGTTAAATATGAAGCCCACATAGTCCACTTCATCATGCATATGCCAATTTTAGTGCTGATTTTTTTTAAAGTTTAAATACATCTAATATTACAGGAGTTATTGTACATTGTGGGAGTAATGAATAGGGGGATATGCTTTGAATTAAAAGGCCGACGTTTCATTTCGGGTTCAAGAGCCATCAAAGCCTTTGATGCGCTAAACATAAACAATTCAATGATCGAGCGTGCGGGTGGATTTTAGTATGTCGAAAGCCTATAGTTAAATGTACTTTCGTGTTGAGTTTTACGTTATGCCTCCCTTTTCCTAAGTCGACAAACCCCTTTATAACGTCAACATTGATGTGAATACATGTTGTTAGTAAATGGATGCGTAGGCGCACTGTAAAATATATATAGGCCAAAGGGCCAGGTGAGCTTATGCCGTGGTGCGGCGTCCGTCGTCGTCCGTCTGGCGTCAACTTTTAACTTTAAACAACTTCTTCTGAATAACCAAGAGGCCCAGGGTGATGATATTTGGTCAGTAACATGCTGTGATGTTGGGCTACTAATTTGTCCAAATGAATGACCTTTGACCATTTTCAAGGTTACAAGGGTCAAATACGTTAAACGGTCTGAATAACCAGAAGGCCCATGGTGATATTTGGCCGGGGACATGCTGGGATAAAGGACTACCAAGTTTGTTCAAATGAATGACATTGACTTATATTCAAGGTCACAGGGGTCAATTGTCGTAAAACACTAAAATGCCCAGGGTGATGATATTTTGCCAGTAGCATGTTGAAATGAAGGGTTACGAAATTTGTTAAAATGGATGACCTTTAAGAATATTCAAGGTCAGAGGAATTTGTTTAAATCTTTATACAACTTCCTCTGAATAACCAAAATGCCCAGGATGTTGATATTTGGCCAGTAGCATACTAGAATGAAGGACTACGAAGTTTGTTCAAATGAAGGTCCTTGAATAATTTTTAAGGTCACAAAATCAAATATGTTCAAAATCTTTCTTCTGATTAACCAAAAGCGGCAGTATGATGATATTCGGCCCGTACCATGATAGGATGAAGGGTTACCAAGTTTGTTCAAATGATTTACCTTGACATTTATTCAGGGTCACAGGGATCAAATATGTTCAAAATCTTTGAACGACTTCTTAATAACCAAAAGGCCCAGCATGTTGATATTTGGGCAGTAGCATGCAAGGTTGAAGGGCTATTAAGTTTGTTGAATTTAATGACTTTGAATTATATCCAAAGTCACAGGTCGTAGGTCAAACATGTTAAAATATTTAAACGACTTCTTCTGAATAACCATAAGGCTTAGAATCTTGATATCTGGTCGGTAGCATGCTGGGATTAAGGACTACCAAGTGTGTTAAAGTGAATGACCTTAACTTATATTCAATGTCATAGGGTTCAAATTTGTTTAAAAATTGTCTTCTTCTAAACGACTTCTTTTTAATAACAATGATGCCCTGAATGTATATATTTGGCCAGTAGCAGGGCTATCAATGCTTTTCAATTGAATAACCTAGGCCCACTTTTCGAGGTCACATTAAGTCAAATGTGTTGATATTTTGCAAGTGTCATCCTGAGATAAAGGGTTATACAATTTGTTCAACATAATGACCTTGCCCGACCTTCAGGGTCACGGGGGTGAAATGTTTTTAATTCTTTTAACATGTTCCTTCGAATGGCTTTTAATTAGAAATACTGATATTTGCCTGTAGCTTTATTTTAAATCACTTTTAAGGTTACAAGTGTGATATGTATTCCAGGTGAGCGATGCAGGCCCATTGGGCCTCTTGTTTGTATTTTGTTTTGTGTTTCTCTGTATGACTTTTAACCATTTTACTTCTCCTTGTCTGACGGAATTAAATATTTACCAATAGTATCACCGTTTGACAACGAACTTACACCGGTTTCCTGATGCTTTCTTTCTTCAAATGAAAACGAAAATACACCGAATAAAAAAAAAAAAATTGGCATCCTTGATCCGACCACTGTGTGTTTCTGAATACAATAACAGGGTTTGTTTCTTATTTTTAGGACGTGGACATATTGGTATTCCCCGAGATGGGTATATACGGCCTAGGGTTGTCGAGAGAAGGTATAGCCCCTTATCTCGAAAATATCATCGACCCCGAAAAGGAAGTATGGAGTCCCTGCGACTATCCGCATCGGTATCCCAACTCCGAAGTGCAGCATTTTCTCAGCTGCCTTGCCAAGAACAACTCACTTTACATCGTAGCCAACTTCGGGGATCGACAACCTTGTAGCCAGTCTCTTGACCCAAACTGCCAAGCTCAGTACCAGTATAACACTGACTTAGTGTACGACCCACGCGGTATTCTTGTTGCTAAATACCACAAGGTGAATCTTTACTTCGAAAAGTCATTTGACTTCCCTCCTGTGAATAAAGCAGTTACATTTGACACCCCGTTTGGTGTTTTTGCCTTGGCGATTTGCTTTGACGTTCTTTTTTATGACCCAATCATTGACCTGATCATCAACCATGGTGTGCGTAATGTTGCATTCCCTACTGCCTGGATGGACAGACTGCCTTTCTTGTCTTCTATAGAATATCATTCGGCCTTTGCAGCTGGTATGGGCGTGAATATGCTGGCTGCAAATATCAACTACCCTCGGATGAGGTTTCATGGAAGTGGAATATACACTCCTAATGGAGCCTCACGTTTCATTTACAACGACCAAACAGCTAGTGGAAAATTACTTGTGAGCGACCTTTCAGTCATTAACAAACACGGAAGTGTAACCCTTCCCCCAAGAACACCGACACTGAAAACGCCACACGTGACCGGAAGCATTTTTAAGTCAAAGTTACATTATGATTCATACAACCTCACGTTAATCTCCGGAATTTCGGGTCATGCGACCGTTTGCCACAATACCATTTGCTGCCAGCTGAACTACTCTAGACAAAATACCAACGAGACGTTTGCGTTCGGAGCCTTTGACGGGCTACATGGCCGCAATGGGTCATACTTTATGTACCTACAGGTCTGTACATTACTGAAGTGTACCAGAACCGGAAATACAAGCTGCGATGACAGAAATATGCAATCACAGACAATGTTCAATAACGTTCACATTACCGGTTACAATTTCACATCTTACATATATCCTGAGGTCCTCCTTTCACAAAACGGTTCACTTGGATTGTCTATAGGTAGATGGACGTACAGTTATGGAGTGCTTCACGCGCCGACTGGGTACGAGGCTCCACTGGTGTCAACGAGCTTATATGGAAGGCTTTACTCCACTGATGACAGCAACGGACGGGAGTCTTGGTATCCTACTAAAAGAAGCGTAGCTGCCTCAGGCTCGAGGAGGCACGTGCCTACACATACTCTTGTTATGTGTTTGTTATTTGTCAGTGTAAATTCAAGAAATTAAAAATTAAATATGTGTAATCATTAAAATAGAAGATTATACAATATCTAGGATGTTTTCTTTAGGTCTAGTACAAAGTACGAAAAATAACTTCTTTTTTTTTTGCTCGTTGTAACTTTGTTACAGTAATAAAAAGCAACATCTTGTAATACACAAATGTGCCGTACAACTTTCAATCTTATTTAAGATAAAATGGCAATATCACAACGATGAACAAGTTTGTGGTCCGGACCATTGATTTTTGCAGAGGGATAGAATTGAAGGGTGGAAACTTTTTAATTAGTTCTTAGTCAAGGTATCAACTTATTGCTTTTGAATGTGTAAATAGTATTATATTTCTAAATGTATTTCAGTTATGTGTATCGAATGCACTGCAAAATGCTTTAACTTTGTGACGCTTAAGGACTTCCCAACCTTCGTAATACACATGTTTTTCTTGTCGTATTTTCGTGTCGTCATTTCCGTATTGCGTATCGGGCATTCCATTACCGTAGTGTAAATTATAGTAACACCGGGTAAGCAAAAGTACACGTGCGTGACGATGATATGTCAACATCCGATATCAATATCGAAACTTATCTTGGAAATGTGTAATCACACATACTTCAGAAAATAAAGCTTATGATACAAAGACATTAATTAACTCACGGGTAGACACAGACATAAGATCAGACGACTTAAAAAAGGTCGTAGTTCACCAGCTCTTGGTCGCTACGACTTTTGTTGTCGAGCGAGTTACGCTCTGTCAGATAAATTGTAAAAAATTACAATAACTCTGTAAGAATAGTGGTTTGTGAAATATCAAGATCCCTATAAATTGCAAGTGCATGTGCGTGCACGTGATAACGGCATACCATGCGATACCAGCCTAAGGTTACCTATGTACCTGACATGTCAGTATACAATGCGTAAGCGGGCTATGAAATGATGTCCAAAGTGTACATGATTGAGAGTAAGTTTGTTCCATAAAAGAACAGTAAATTGACAATTAAATATAGTTATTTGATTTATTTCCGTCTTTTTGGGTCTAAGTAAAGAAAATAAGTGTCATTGTAAAATTCTATCCCTCTGCAAAAAGTTCCGACTTTTTTCAATGTAGACAACTCTCATCAGGATCAAATTATTATAAAATGTAAAATGAATTCATTATAAAGACTTTGTGTGTATTTGGGTCAATTTTTCACTCATTTTGTATGAAACTATGTGTCCTGTTTGCTTTTAGCTTGTATTTAGTAACTTTTATCCATACAATTTTAAAAAAACGCTTTTTGTAACATGTCGTAGATATTTTATGATCAATAAAATATTTTTAAGGCTGAATAGCAATGTTTCTTTTCGTTATTTTATTGATGTTATAGTTTTGAACAATGCCACACACTCAAAAAATATAAAAGTGTTGAATTTGACAAAAATTCAATTTTTCGGTTTTTTTTACCAAAAAATACCCAGTTTATCGGAATGCTTAGATTTTCATAAAATCATCTCTACATAGTGACATAATCATTATGTGAAACTTTCATTGAATTCTTCTGGCTATTGCGGAAGGGTGGAGCCTCCTTAATAGGAAGCTGGAAAGGGTTCGACAAATCTTTTATCAAAAACATCTTATACCCGATAAAAAAATATAATAACATTCACATAGGTCTCATAGTTATATCTATAACGACATAAATGTATATAGACATACATTATTCCGATTCTGCACCGATCATGTAATTACAATCCGTTTACCAAATATATCTTATACCCGATAATGATAATTGAATATATCTAATATATATATTTATCAAAATACATAATAATTAAAATATTTCTGCCCGTTCCTGTCCGTTCCTGCCCGTTCCTGCTCGTTTCTGTAAATCGTCTGACCGAGCTGGAAAGGGTTGTGTGCCATGTGTAAACACCGTGGGCTTCGAGTTCTGTTACTTTCTGACTTCTACTATCGCTCTTGTGTAAATATTTGTTTTGTGTGATTATACTACCCTTCGTGTTTTTATGTATTGCAAGCCAAGGCCATTACTCTCATACCATGCGCTGCGTCTGTCGTCGATAGCATAACGATTATATCTGCCAACTGTCAGGTTATTGTTGACCTAGTTGAGCAAAAATATGTGTTTTCCTATTTAAGAGTGAAAAGGTACAATATTTACTGTCTATCGGATGCTCACTTCACAATGGACAAGGACATAATAATCGTTCGAATTGGGGATTTGAATGTATTTTTAACTCTTTTAACTCTCATACTAGGGAACTGCAATACTTTTTAACAACAATTTCGAGTATAAAGTCTTACAGGAAAAGAAAGAATTTTAACGGTAATATGTTAGCACTCTATATTATAATACAGGAAGAGAAACTTTCTTTGATAACACTATATGGACCTAACACTCAACAAACAGTATTTTAAAAATATAAATAACTCAAATGCAAGAAATAAAGGTATAGAGTTAAAAGATGAGTTTGGAATTACAGATACTTTCAGAGAAATTAACCCCAATGCTAAAAGATATACATGGCATAAGAAAACTCCTCTTAAATAAGCATGGTTAGACTACATATCGATATCTGACAGTTCACTACCAAGTCTAACATCTTCTGTAATTGAACCAAGTTACCGATCTGATCACTCTATTTCTGCCATACACTTAATATTTCACAACTTTCAAAAAGGTAGGGGATTATAGAAATTTAATAACTCTTTATTGTTTGATTTAGAATATTTAACTCTCATCAAATCTACTATAGACACTATAAAACAGCAGTACTCTTGATATCCTGAACATATACTTCTCATTGATTTGGAAAAAGCCTTCGATTCTGTTTCTTGGAACTTTATAGCAAAACCCCTCAAATATTTCAAATTTGCCTAACTATAATTAATTGTATAAAACTGTTTCAACAAAACATCCACTCAACAGTAAACATAGGGGGGAAACTTATCATTTTTTTTCAGTATAGAACGTGGCTGTCGTCAAGAATATCCTGTATTTTCTTATATTTTTATTTTATGTACAGAATTTTATCGATACATTTAAGAAAAAACAATTACATCAAGGAGATATTTGTACGGGATAACGAAATTATTTTATCACAATTTGCAGATGATACTGTTAATCCGTGCGCACGGTTTGTTAATCTGCGCGCACGGTTTGTTAATTCGTGCTCATTAGTAAATTAGTAAACATCTCGCAGCTATGTTCGGGGGCTCCGTATACATCTGTAATTTTAGATGGTTCTAAAAGGTCTCTGGATGAAACTTTAAAAAAATATCGGGATTAAAAATGAACTTCTCCAAAACCCAGGTAGTGTGTATTGGCAGCAAAAAATATATAGTGGAAACACTTACACAACAGATTGTCATTTACAATGGGGAGGTACAAAGTTCAATTTGCTAGAGATAGACTATGATGTAGACTTATACAGAATTACAAAACTCAATTTTGAGAAAAACAACTTATAAAACTAAAATATCTCATAGCATCATGGAATAAACGAGTTCTTTCACCAATAGGTAAAATATCAGTTATCAAAACATTACTTATATCACAGTTTAACCATTTGTTTATAGCACTACCAAATCCGGATGAAACATATATAAAAAAAATATAGTATTTTGTATGATTTTTTTGTGGAATGGTAAACCAGATTAGATAAAGAGAGATGTGATAAGTAAAAGTTATGAAGAAGGTGGTCTGAAAATGATACATTTAAAATCTTTTATAACAGCTCTTAAAGCAACATGGATAAGACGGGTATATAAAGAAGAAGGAAATTGGGCTCATATTTTAGAAACATATTTTGATAAAGAAACATTAGCTAACTGTGGACTTGAAAAATTAAAAGAAGAATCAAAACATTGTAGTAACCTCTTTTGGAAAGATGTCTTAGAAGCATGGTACAGTACTATTATCTCTAGCAATATATACAATACCAATATACGTGAAAACCCTCTGTGGTTCAATAGTGAAATTAAAATTGACAGAACATTTACATTCAAACATTCATGGTTTAAAAGGGAGTACAATTTGTATATAACATTATTAAACAAGATGGATCACTCTACCATTTTAAAGAATTTCAAGAATAATATAACATAAATACTATTTTTTTGACATACCAATAAAAAGAATGCTGTGCATCATTTTATAAGAAAAAATCATCACATTTATTTTGTGAATAACACAACGAAGGTTAAAATAAATGACGAGTTCCAATTTGACAATATCATTAATGAGTTCGATGGCAAAACTTTCCATCAGTAAGCAGATCAGGTATTCCTACTGGAAGAAACTGTGCTCTTCCTCTGGCCAACCTATCTTGTTTTTATATGAGGCTAAATTTATTGCTGGATGATGCCGGTAAGTGAAGTCTATTGGCAAGTTGTATGGTCGCAATCATAATTTAAATGTAATAGGGAAAATGCTATTTCTTTGTGTGATATGAAGGCCGATGGTTTTTGTTTTTTTGATTTTGCTTATTTGAGTGGTATGGTTATGACTACCCAAATTCTCATGATGAGGACATAACATAACTTGGAGTTTACCTTAATTTTAATTCCGCGTGTCGTCGATGACGCAGAGGACGCTTGCCCTTCCTGACCATCTGGTCTTATTCTCCATGTAATTTGCAAGGGTCTCCATACCTTTGCTCATACTTTCCCTAGTTTCATCGATTTTGAGTTCAATCTGTGATTTTGTTGACTCTTCGATATTCTCTTTTTATAAGGACCACCCTCCCACAAATAATAAGTTGAATCCAGTTTTACCTTTTTTGGATCAAAATTCGTGTTTATATTACTTTTAAACGATTTAAGAAGATATCGTCAAAGAGAACTAGTTGAAAACCCCTGCTAAAATCCTCATACTTGTATTTAGTTCATTACCACTCATTCGTTCTTAGATTCGTATTATTTGTATATTCAATTATGAAACGCACCGGTATACCTGTACTTATCAACTGATTGTATTTAAACTTTTTAACTCTTGTCGTTAAACTAAAAAAAAACAATAACATTTATCAGTCAATTGTCCAAGTGCCTACACAAGATTTAAATCCCAGCTACGTCCCTGACTAACCATCACAAGACAAGGCGTGGTCCCGGAATACACTTGTAAAGCGCTTGATATTGTCGTATCATTAAAGCAATAAATTTATTAAAAAAATTGCTGTGAAACGTTATTATTGCGACGACAGAAAGATGAGTCATAACTATTACCTTGATAAGCATGTGAATGATTTACAAATCCTAACCTGATTTCGCTACTGCTTGTAACAGAGAAAATAGGAAATCACGAGAAAATGAATAGTTACATGAATATATTTATCTAATTTGGTGTCCTCTCGTTACAACCCCAATCATCTTTCATTTCTATACGTTTCCTTGGTTGATCCGAGTGGAGTCATCTGATGAAATGGATGTGTCATCAAAACGTCTGGAAGAGTATTATTTCGTTTTTTAGCTTGTGCCAGTTGAGCCTATGGTGTGGTATGTTGCCATCGTCCGTCCGTTTTTCTTTGAATGACTTGTTCTTAAGAACAGGAGGACCTAGGGCCATGATATTTGGCCTGTAGGTACCTGAAACGGAGTGCTTAAAAGTTTCCTCAAATAAATGAACTTATCCTATTTTCAAGGTCGATTGGTTCAAAATTGTAAAAAAAAAAAAAAATTGACCTACTTTCAAGGTCACGGGGTCAACTATGTTAAACCTTTAAAAAAAATCTTCGAAAAAACCAGGAGGCCCAGATTAATGATACCTATCTAGTGAGTACCTTGGACACAGCACTATAAAGGTGGCCCTTGGTGATAATATTTAACCAAGCGCATGCTGGGATAGAGTAGTATACAGTTTCATTTAGTCTGGAACTATGGAAATATTTACAAAAGTACTTTCATTGAGAATATTTTCCTATGATTGCTCAAATATGAAGGTGAGCGATACAGGCCCTCTTGGTCTCTTGTAAAGAAATGCTACATACAATAGACAATCCATAAATATTTGCCAATGACTGCACCGAGAAATCAAACCAAATTTTTTTCTCTCAAAAAATTGCAGAAAAATTAAAAACTCTGAAATCACACTAGCTCCATTCGTTTGATTAACCGGAAGTCTCTGATCACAGATTTGGTTGTAACACTGACATGTCGTATTTCCGAATGAAAACTTCAAAAAAATATAAAGACGAACGCAACAAAAACATTAAGGCCACAAACTCTTTTCGGGAACACAACTGTGATAATTTTCTTGTTTACGAGTTTACAAGTCTTTGGGTCAATCTCACAGCTGGAACAAATATTATTAACTAAGACAAAACATACGTTTCCCACAGCAATAGAAAGTTGTAAAGCAATAGGATGTGGGTATTTTTACCGATTTAGGGCAATGTTTTATTTCTTTTCTTTCAAATCAATAAGTAGGACATGTTCCACAAAAACATTGAATTGTTGATTAGTGATAGACCCGTGGCCGAGGACCCTTATCGAACGAATTCCCTACAGCTTGCTTTATCTATTTATCAGCTAAATTTAAACCATACATTACGTGTTAACCACAAATTCATATTTCTGAAACATTTCGCCCCGTAAAAAAGTGCAATTCAGATTGTGCTATGACAATTCATTGCGATTCTTTTTATAAAAAGCAATGCATTTCGCATCATTTTTGACGTCATAAAGAACTTTCACATGCCCATTGGACCTCTTGAGTATTATTAATGAAATGTATCGATATTCATGCAGGAAATATATACATGTTCAATATATTTTAGAATTTCGTATACTTTTCCAATGAAGCTACCAATGCTGAGTAAATTTCGAGCGATACACAATACTGGGTCCAAACTCATCATATTCCACCGGTGTCATCCACAGTTGTTGTGAACTGGACAGACTTCCCCATATTGATCCACCCACCCAAGTGGATATTCTTCTCTCTGGGGGAGCTATGACTTTGATACGTCTGTTGAGTGGCAATAACGCCCGTAATTCTTGTTCTAATCTAGAAACTAGTCCTTCTGTCATCGTGTTGCCTCCTGATAGAATAAAACTGCAGTAAATGTCATTACGTACATCCACAGGACACGCTTTGATGCTTTTCACAATAAGTTCGTGTATACCACAAGCATCACTTCCAATAAGGTGCGGTTTAAACATGGCTTCCATGCACTGGAACCTCTCGTAATCGAGGCAGATAGTAGTTCCATTAGAAAAAGTATATTCCTGTCTTATGTTGTCCACATTTTCTGTTTGAGGGTTGTTTGAAACGTATGCATATTTTTCCTTCATCACGCTTACTTCTTCCACTTCTTTTGCTGTGGTAAACGCGTAACCCCGTTTTCCTAGAAGTTCGATCAAGTAATGAGTGATATCATTGCCACCGATATCGGCTCTAAACATAGACTGGCGTACTTTATGTCCCTCAAATATGCAGACGACATCTGTCACTTCATAACCCGAATCTATCACCAGACCAGACCCCCGTCCTGAGGAGTACAGAGACAGCACATTAGGGCTGACAACATACATTCCTCGAGGCTGAATTTTCTCAAACATGATTTGTGCTATTTTCTCTCTCTGTGACTTTGGATTCATAGGGGTTTCCGTTACAAGAACACTCATGTCAGATGGCACCGTACGCAGTTCATCAAATACGTGATGCCATACTCTCTCCATGGCATCCCAGTCTGTCACTATTCCTCGCTCAATTGGTCTTCGAATGTCCAGAACGTCAATGTTTTCGATCACCTGGTCACCCACGAAATATTTTTTCTGTGGTTTGCCACCAATCGTTTGCCCCTGAACAAAGGCATCAGTTTAAATACAATGAATAGTAGCTGTCTACTGTACTTATTACTCCAACTATCACATGCATTATCCAACTAGATGTCGTAAAAGGCGACTCAATCGGGGCCTTTATAGAATCAAGGCCTTCCCTCTATATCCTTTGCTACGGAGACATTGAAAATTAAACACAATTGATCTGCTGCCCCCATTTGAACATTTCGGACAGTTATATTCTCTTTCTACTTCCTGAAAACATTGTTTCCTGGTGCCTTGTGTGGCAAAACCTTATTTCAGTCTTAGTGTTTAGCGTTCGCCCAAGTGTGGTAGGCAATGGGTCGGGACATACCAAACTCCTTAAAAATGTTAGTTGTTATTCCCTGCTTTACGTTTAGCATTGAACGTTATAGCAACAGCAGGGTTACTTGTGGTCAGTATAATGTGACCAAATGGAATAGTGGGTTAGGTTCCTTTGGAAGGGTACTTTAGTGAGGTAGCACTCTAAAGTCTGCGACAGATCCACGCTATCGCAAGGAGGCAAAAACATCAACATACGCTGTCTCCACCACACATACACGTATATATTTCAAGCATGGAGGTACGTCATTTAATGACATTTGCTGTTGATTCGCCGTTTAACACAATAAAAACCAACCAAATTAACACTGAAACTATATATGATAATTACCTTGACACGAGTACAAAAAGGCTTACCTCTAACTTAGAAATATAACCCTGTGTATGTTGTGTCGAAGTACAAAAGAGATATTTATTTCTTTATATATGTAGTATGAAGGTAAAGATCAAATTGAATTTAATTGAATTGTAATATTTTGAACTGAGAAATTAAAATTAAAAAAAATATGTATTTACTTATTTCTACATGGTTCTAAATCATGAAAAGAAGTCACTGTTGTAGAAATCTTCTTCACAACAAATCATTATTAACACAGATTGAAAAATATATAAAATGATACATACTGGAGATCATAATAATTAGGTAAATCTACAAAATGTACTGCAAGTACCCGATAATTTCTGCTTGCTTACATTTTTATTTACGTCTTCATAACTGCTAAGGCCATATCAAGATGGTGCCTCGGGAGTAACCACCATAAGGAAGGGGTAAGTAATATAGAAAAGAAAAGGTAGATCCCCAGTGTTACAATTGGGGCAGAATATCAATTTCTTTCCGATGTCCTCTTGAAAGAAGACACCAAAAAAAACCACCCTATTCCACAAGGATCTCAACGTCACTCGCCTCTTACATCAGCCAGTGGTATACAACAGGCCTATTCTTTGCACGAACCCGCATATTACCTGATATAAAGGCGTTCCTATGACTGTCCGAAAATCAATCCGTGGAGTATCATGTCCAGCAAATCCTGCTTTGATCCTATGGGAACCGTTGTCCAGGACAACACAGTCCTCCTCCTCATCCGAACTCCACATATCTGGTAACTTTAGTTATCCCTGGATGACGCAAGGCTCTGCACCTGAAATAAGCCACAAGGAGACCATGCTGTTCAATCATTACTGCCAGAATAAAGGTAAAATTTGCAAGTTTGATAACATCTAAATTGTTAATTTTCAATCTAACATATCTATAAGTATACAGCTTTAAAAAGAGAAAGAATATATACATTGTTACTTCTGTGAATTTAATAATTCGCGATAAAGTCATTTCTAGCAGAATCGCGAAAAGTAAATGCTTTGCAGTATACATGTATATCATTGTGTTATGTTGAAAGAATGTGTTTAATTTTTGTTTGTATGAGTTTACAGCAGGTGTCCGGTATTTACCGTGTAGGCGTTCCAAATGATGTCAAAATATGTTAGCATGCATTGAAAATGTAAAAATGTCGAAGCTTTCATAGAATGTTACTCAAATTTGGACGTTGCTATATCCTGCACGAATCGTGAATCTTAGAAAGTCTAACCCTAAGAAATTTTATAAATATTTCTCTAGGAGTCGCAGTACTAGCACTCGATCGAATATTGGTATTAACGAGTTCTTAGCACATTTTAAAACATTAAGTGACGATGACAATAATGCACCGTACGGTGATCTTGAAGACACACTGGATAACACAAATATCTCGGTATTCGAAAAACTGGATAAACCATTAACTATAGACGGAATTCGTACTGGTATACGGAATTTGAAAAGAGACAATAGTTGCAGTGGAGATAACATTTTAAACGAATTATTTATAGATTGCGAGGAAATTATGTTGCCAAGGATAATCAAACTTTTTACAAAAAAAATTGACTCGGTTTTTTCCCTGATGTATGGTCACGTGGCAGTATAGTTCCAATACACAAGAAAGGTGATGTAAACTTTGTTGGAAATTATAGAGGTATAACTCTAGTAAGCTGTATGGGCAAGTTATTTACGTCCGTATTAAATAGGAGACTTCTCAAATGGGATAAAGAACATTCGATTATCACAGATGCCCAATTTGGCTTCAAAGCGGGATCTTCAACTGTTGATGCAATTTTTGTTTTACAATTGCTGATTAATAGAACTTTAAAGAAAAAGAAGAGATTATACTGCTGATTTGTAGACTACAAAAAAAGCATTTGATCTTATTGACAGAAGTAAACTTTGGTGTAAACTAATAAAGCATGGAGTTCAGGGTAATGTACTCAGAATTATAACAAACATCATTGTACGAAAATGTCAGATCGTGTGTAAAACCTAATGGAGGTGTATCAAAGTATTTCAACAACAAGATAGGTCTTTTCCAGGGGGAAGTACTCTCACCGATCCTGTATAGTCTTTTTGTGAATGATTGTGAAATGCATTTTATAAATCAAAATTGTTCATCTGTCGACTTAGGAATGATATCAATATTTTTGCTAATGTATGCTGATGACTCCGTCTTAATTGCGGAATCACCTCAAGATCTACAACATATGCTAGATGCATTGTTATTATACAATAAGGAATGGAAACTCACACTTAATATCGTAAAGACCAAGGGAGTAGTATTTAGAAATGGAGGGATTGTGCGAAATGAAGAAAAATGGTACTATGACAATAATGAATTGCAACAAGTGAACGAGTTTAACTTCAATGGAAAATTTAATAAAACGCAACAACATGCTGCCGAAAAAGGGCGAAAGGCATATTTTGCTTTGTATAAAAAAATAAGAAACCACAATTTCAACACTCAAACGTTATGTTCAGTGTTTGATACGTATATTAGCAGTGTACTAGGGTATGCGAGTGAAATTTGGAGTTTTCATAGAGCGTTGGAAGTTGAAAAAGTACATACTTGTTTTGTAAAAATATTTAAGGTGTTGGTAAGAAAACATGTAATGACTTGGTATATTTTAAATTAGGCAGACTTCCGGTGCATGTTGCAAGAAAATTGAAAATATTGAAATATTGGATCAAAGTCAAAGACTCAGACAAATGTATACTCAAAGCATGTTACGAACAAAGAAATCTAGATAATGATGACTGGATTATGAAAATAAGACACGAACTGAATTTACTAGAATTGGGGTATTTATGGAACAGCAGCTATGATAGTAAGGTTATGTATAAAATTATAAAACACAAATTTTATGATATTCATACTCAAGAAATATTGTCCAAAGGATCATTGTATCAACACTTGGTAGATAACTTTGATTTACAATTTTATTTAAGAAAACCTATTGACAAACTATATAAGAAAAATATCTCCCGTATTCGATTATCATCACATAACCTTAAGATAGAAAGTGGGAGATATACGAATACTGCTAGGACAGAAAGGTTATGTGAATTATGTGATCTCAATGATATAAAGGACGAATTTCACTTTATTTTGAAGTGTCTATTTTATTGCAACATACGCTCTTAATACTTAAAGCCATATTATTATCGCAAACCAAGTGTGTTTAAACTTTTACAATTACTTATATAATGTAAATAATGTTAAAGAACTAAACAATCTAGGAAAATTCATACATTTCGCATTTAAGCAACGTTCTCGAGTATCATTCTTATATATATATATATGTCTGGCATGTATTACTCTCCTTATTACATGTACATGTACAATTGCATGAATGCTATGTATGTTATTGTTATATAATAACCGTATTGTAACTTACACATGTAATTTGTCTTATAAGCCGAAATGGCTTACAGAATAAAAAGAATTGAATTGAATTGTGACCTTTTGCCTAGATCTTGTTTACTTATTTGAACTCATACAGATTTCAGATTTTCAGATTTCAGATTTTATTTCCAACACTCAGACACATGGAAAGGTGTAACATGAGGTACATGTACATGAATTCATATATTAAATTTTGACAGGATGGACAGGTGCGTGCATGTATACAAGCAAGATTGTATTGACACTCAGACACATAATATGTATTACATGAGGAAATAAATTGCAGATATGGAAAATGAAGTACAATACCGAGGTTTTAATAACTTCATAAATACAGGACACCCTGCGGCACTCCATCTCGCCTGAGAGGATAAACAAACACTCAGGTAAAGGTCTAGTAACGACTTATAATAACCTATAATAATCACAGTACACCAGCTACCGGCTTGCCAATTACCTCTCTAAAGCAACTTACATAACAATCTTGATAGCACGATTGAAAGCAAGACAATTTCAGTGAAAAACATACCTGTATTGTCCTGATAACATATCCTAGGCCTAGCATGAAATATTGCGTGAATATGTCTCTTTTATCATGCGGAAGTATACCGTTGGTTTATAATAAATAATAGGAAAACGGTCCTTCAGTTATCCGGAAATTACTAAAAGTAGACGTGAAATACGGAAATCTTCACAAGTTAAATGTAGATCCCTGACCCATTTAAAAAAAATAAAAAAAATTGAAACGACCTCAATATCCCGAGTATATAAAAGGTTAATTTATGATATTTTTAGCTAACTTGAAATTGCAACATTTTTTTTTACTTTGTGTTACTGCATCTTTAAATATTTTCACTATTTGTTTATTAATATATTTTTTCAATATTTAATTAATAATGGTTCATTAATTTAATTAAAGGTTTGGAGAGATACACTTAAACATCTTGTATGTGTTTCTTAATTCATACATGCCATTTTCTCTAACCCTTCACAGGTGTGTCTCCCGTTTTAGCCGGGAAAGATCAGCTTGTCACCACTTAGGGGGAGAAAGCCTCGTGCCGATTAGCACGTGTTCAATTGTGATGTCATTAAAATGTGTCACCGGTAATTGTGACGTCATCAAAAGTGAATGACGATTTTCATACCCCACATGTGTTTTGGTTTACAAACATGGCAGACTACTGTCGGTGGAGTTGTGACTGAAATTATAGGATGGGAGTAAAATAATCATCCCCTACCTTGGTAGTATAACAGGGAAATCCCCAACCCTCGGGTTAGACAACCACACAACAGAGCCTCGGGTTAGACAACCATCAGGGAGGATATTTCGCTGTCACTCCCTTAAGTTAGGGGCAGATTTTATTAACATAATAAATCTGCTCGATTGTCAGAATTAGATTAGTCAATTGCGTAAGTATTCATGTGGCATAAAGAACTACCAACTCATATCGATTACTAAATAGTTGCTATTGACATCAGTTAAATAAATATCTTTGTCAAATCAATTGATTCCGATAAAGACAAAGAACAATAACCTCTGACTTTATTTGAAGATATTTCTAAACAATAACAATTTTAAACTAATGACTATTTTAAAAAAAATACCTAAAATCTGACAATTCATATATAGAACTGCTACCGCGGTTTAAATTCAACATATATCCAAATCACCTTGAGCGAGACCATTCTTAGTTAGATAGCAATGTGTCAACTTTTTTGTTAAACTCCTCTTCGCAATTGCTTTTGAGGTCTATTTAATCACAAGGTCGCCGAACACATGATTAATTCTATAAGGTCAAACTCCATATCAATGTTAGGTCGTACGTATCCGTTTATCAGCGATATCAAGTTCAGTATCACCTGTATCCTCTAATCCACTCAGTAGTGTTATGCAGCTACGAACAAGGTTAATGTACGTTATATAGACTCTTACATAGGATTGGCGTCAAGGTAGCGTTGTCTGTTGATCTGCGTTAGCAAGCACCATAATCACCTGTGATAGGCAGTCTACTCAGAAGTGTACTGCTGCAAGTCCATGTCTAGTGTGTGTTATGCCCAATACCATGGGGCTGGTGTCAACCTAGTAGTAATCGTCATACATTACGAATGATTCAACGTTTACGATAATCCGTCGATGGTTCTGAACATATATTATCTGTTCCAACACCCGGTGAGCTGCCACCATTTGTAATTTGTAATGATACGGGTTCTCGTTTATGTTTCGTCGCATAATTATCATGTCCTTAACCAATAATAAGCCATTAGTTCATGTTCCTATTTGGTTACTGTGTTATAAAATATGTATATGGAATATATATATATATATATATTTCAACATTTCATTTCCTCGATTTCCTATATATTTAAGTATTATATATTTTCAGAATTGCATAAACAATTACTAACGTTACGAAAACTAAGTAGATTTAGATCGATACACCACATTAGGTCCAAACTCCTCATAGTCCGCTGGTGTTATCCACATACACTGTGACGAAGAAAGACTTGCCTCAATTGACCCACCGATCCAGGTGGAGTAGCTCCTTTCAGGAGGAGCAACGACTTGTACTTTTATGTTACGTGGCAACAACGCCCGTAATTCCTCCTCTAACCGCGAGGCCATTCCAGCCGCCATTGTGTTACTTCCCGAGACAATAATATTTGCGCAGATATGGCTGCGTATATGTATCGGACATCCTTCGATACTTTTCGCAATAAGCTCGTGTATACCACACACGTCACTTCCGATCAGGTTTGGCTTAAACATAGCTTCCATGCACTGGTATCTCTCGTAACCAAGGCTGATAGTTGTTCCATTGGAAAAAGTATAATCCCTTTGAATGTTGTCGACGATGTTTTTCTGTGAAACGTACGCACATCTTTCCTTCATCATGTTTACCTCTTCCACTTCTTTTGCTGTGGTAAACATGTAACCCTGCTTTCCGAGAAGTTCGATCAAGTAATGAGTGATATCATTGCCACCGATATCGGCTCTAAACGTGGAATTGTTTAGTTTATACCCCTCATATATACACGAGACATCAGTCACTTCATAACCCGAATCTATCACCAGACCCGAACCTCGTCCCGAGGAGTACAGCGACAGCACATTAGGGCTAAAGACATACATCCCTAGTGGCTGGATTTTATCAAACATGATTTGTGCCATTTTCTCTCTGTTTGACTTCGGATTCATAGGGGGTTCCGATAAAAGTACATTATTTTCAGAAGGCACCGTACGAAGATCCTCAAATACGTGATGCCATATTTTCTCCATCACATCCCAGTCTGTCACTATTCCTCGCTCAATTGGTCTTCGTATGTCCAAAACGTCCATATTTTCGATCACCTGTTCACCTACGTAATACTTTTTCTGTAGTCTGCCACCTATCGTTTGCCCCTGAAAAAGTCATCAATTCAAAATGCATGTAATATATACACTGTTAATTTTATAACTTTTAGTTTGTGATTAGAATCTGCTTCATGTAGGGAAGAACCAAGTAGTTATTTATTTGTATGTGTATTTATAATGTTAAATGAGCAAGAGGTCGGTGCAATTGGCATGGGGCGCTCACATGCAATAGAATGATGTACGCAAACTCAGCTCAAATGTGGGATCAATAAAGTGGGTGGAGCCGGAATAATTGAATTAAATGTTAGATTTAACATTCTTTTTAATCTTCAACTTCAAACTATAATTTTTTATAGTCAAATAGTATATCTCTGTGCCTCTTGGTTATCTACAGTATGCGTTTAAATGTTTTAAGCCATTTGATCCATGTGGCCGTAAAAAAGGGCCAAGGTAATATATTGAACAGCGTGATACCCTTATATCCAAGCTTACCAAATATTAAGTAAACCACTAACATGAGCCTCTTGGTTGTTTCAAGGTTGAAAGGCACATGATCCCCGTGATTTTTAAGAAAACAAAATGGCAATAGACGGACGGACTACGGAGGGCATAATGAGCCACTCCTACTTTGCAGAAAGTTGTGTATCAATTACCAATAATACTTAATAATTAAAGTCATGTGTAATACCCATACTAAAATTATCTTTATTAAAATGATTCCATGTCAATTTCAGAATACTTTATATGGATTGTCCAGTAATTATGCAGATACAGCATTATTTCCTATGCTAGTATACAAACACCAAATTGGAAGTTATTATGTGGAATTGGTATTATAATCATCAATATTCAAATTAAACCGTAATCACCTCAAACAAAGGCATTCCTACTACTGTCCGAAATACGCTCCGTGGAGAATCATCTCCGGCAATCCCTGCTTTAATTCTATGGGACCCGTTGTCCAGGACAACACATGGTTTCACTTTATCAGCCCAAGACATTTCCGGCGGATTGATGTGTCTCCCTTGATTAAGCTTCTAAAGCTCAACACCTGAAAAATACTTTCCTCTGTTATACAAGAAAGAATCCCCGTTCCACAACCTTAAACTGTAACGATGCATTGGAAAATGTTTTTTAAGTAAGCATTCAACAATCTGTGATCCTAGTAGATAATCAACTTTCTATCCTAATAGACAATCCAACAACGTTCGATCCTAGTAGATCTCCGTGGTTCCTCCACAACCAAAACCTTGCACGTCCTTAAAAGACAATAGCTGTTAGTAGGACATAACACACAAACAAAAAAACAATGTTCGATCCTATTAGATATCCCAACAACTTTCGATCATAGGAGATATTTTAACAACTTTCGATCCAAGGAGAAATACCAACAACTTTCTATCCTAGGAGATCAAGACTCATTGGTTATCAGCAGATAACCTAGCCACCAGCACACTCCCTTTCCCGAAAATAATGAAACATCATACTACCAGATTATTGAAAGTTGGCTGAACGAAATTCGACTTCATATATCATTACTGTAATATAGTTTCAATATATAGGTGATAATTTGATTTGATTTGGTAGTGTTTTACGTCCTACTAATCGCTATGGCCATTTAAGGACGTGCCTCGGTAGTGGAGTAAAGCCGGAGTACCCGAAGAAAAAACACTGACTTGCCGCCAGTAGCTGGCGACTGCCAAACGTACAACATAGGCAACGAACCCACAACCTAGTGATGGAGGGCTAGAGGTCGCAGATGGTCAGATGCCGTCACCACTCAGCTACTGCGGCCGTCGTAGGTCACTGGGTGAACACTCAAGTTATGTTTTGTAACATATTCCCTTTCCTTGTTGAGATATTTGATTTTTTTATCCCTAGAAATGCGTATTTTTGCGTTTTTGCTTTCAATATCAATTATCTAACACAGCTCAAAGTCCATCTTGACAGTACTTTCTCTAACCACGAGTCCTGTGTCATGGCAGTATGCGATTCGTTAAGGTTTTTATAAAATGCTTGTTTATTACCAAATACCAAGATAAACTACCATGCACCGTATACAGTGTTTTATCATATACACAAACAAACTACATGTATAAGTAAACTCTTAACTTAACACTTAACTTAACTTATAACTGAACACTTAACTTAACACTTAACGTAACACTTATAACTTAACACTTTTAAAACTTAACTTAACACTTAACTGAACACTTAACTTAACATTTAACTTAACTTAACACTTAACTTTACACTTATAACTTAACACTTAACTAAACACTTAACTTTACACCAACAAGCGTCATATACCTTATTTTGTGTCGATACACGGATTCCCCAATTTTAATAGATGACAATAATTTATTATAAATGCAAAAAGTAGTTGGACAAGCAACGTTTTTACAGTCCGCTGTCGGCCACCGTACTTGTCACATTCTTAACTAAGGGTGATAGCTTATAGTCTGTTCGCTCGTTCATTCAATATAAAAGGCAAATGTGCCGTTGTAGTTTCTTATCGTTACAGAAACGGTCATGTGTACAAATGTGTAATTTGAATTTAAACATGTCAAACAGTTACCTACTCTTGGGAATAATTATATGTTGTGGTAAAATAGTACCTGCTTTGAGAATAATTATATACTTTCTTAAAATAGTACCTGTACTTTGAGAAAGAATATGTTATCATTGAAGTTTT